CCCGCTCAGCACTGGACAGCTCCCGGCCGCGCGGCGGCGGCGCGCACTGACGGGCTTCTCTGTTCCAGGATCCTACTGACCGTGGTGGTGATCTTCAGGATCCTCATTGTGGCCATTGTAGGGGAGACGGTGTACGATGACGAGCAAACTATGTTTGTCTGTAACACGCTGCAGCCAGGCTGCAACCAGGCTTGTTACGACCAGGCTTTCCCTATTTCTCATATAAGGTACTGGGTGTTCCAGATCATCATGGTGTGCACGCCCAGCCTTTGCTTTATAACGTACTCTGTTCACCAGTCTGCTAAGCAGAGGGAGCGGAGGTACTCCACTGTCTTCCTCGCCTTGGAGAGGGACCAGGATTCAATGAAGCGTGAGGACAGTAAGAAAATCAAGAACACAATTGTCAATGGGGTGCTGCAGAATACTGAGAACTCCACCAAAGAGGCAGAACCAGACTGCTTAGAAGTGAAGGAAATCCCTAATCCTGCCATCAGAACTACAAAGTCAAAGATGAGGAGGCAAGAAGGCATTTCTCGATTTTATATCATCCAAGTGGTCTTTCGAAATGCCCTAGAGATTGGATTCTTAGTGGGACAATATTTTCTGTATGGATTCAATGTCCCTTCCATGTATGAATGTGACAGATACCCTTGCATTAAAGAAGTAGAGTGCTATGTCTCTAGACCCACTGAGAAGACTGTATTCTTGGTATTCATGTTTGCTGTCAGTGGGATTTGTGTGGTGCTCAATTTGGCAGAACTGAACCACTTGGGCTGGAGAAAGATCAAAATGGCAGTGAGAGGAGTACAGGCAAAAAGGAAATCCATATACGAAATCAGAAATAAGGATCTGCCAAGAATGAGCATGCCTAACTTTGGCAGGACTCAGTCAAGTGACTCAGCTTATGTGTGAGGCTGTGACAGAATTGAAGTATTGTGCCAGGTGGAACAGACTCAGACACCATTAGGGAAAGGTACATTGCTTAGGCAAGCATTTTATCAAACCACCAAGAAAGCCATTAAGGTATTGGATCTGCACTTACTGAACTAACTGCAAAATGCAGTGCTATGTAAAGGACTGAAAAGCAGCTATAAAACCATGCTTGATCTAGCCTTACAGCACAGCTACTATTATTCCTACTTTTCTTTCTAATGATTGGGTATTATCTGTCTTTGGAGCGGCTTTTTGGTCGCCTTTAGGATAAGTTTACCGTTTGGACTGTCTGACTAATTGTTGTACATGTGTAGAATGTTCATATTCAAAATCTGCAAGGATACTCTATATGGGGGCGGGATGGGGTAGGGGAAATTCCTGCAGTATGCAGATAGATGTAAGCATGTTTTAAAATGAGGGTAACTGCACTGTAAGGAGTCTGACTACAGCTCAGTCAGGATATTTGCGTTCACCTATATCACAGATGTCTTATATTATTTTGCTTGTCTAAATCACAGAGTTTATTCCTGGTGTGTATTACTAGCTATTTCCTATCACAGTTTATGCATCAGTTAGTTATGCTGAGCAATAAATGCTGAATATAATTTTGCCACTTTTTGTTTGCCTGTCCACACACAAACACACCAGAGACCTTAATCATTGTACATTAGTTGTGATCTGCAAAATATATTGGTACATTTCAGTTCATTCCCTAATATGTGCATGAATAAGATGGAGTTGGTTCATGCCAGCCAAGTTATGTATTCACCTACAATTACCTAGGATGACACACATACCAAAGGAACAGAGTTCATTGCTTTTAACTGTGAATATATCACCTCCTCTCTGCTCTTTTTTATATAAAAGTGCCATACTCAAAACATCTAACTCTGTACTTAGTCAAAATGTTGTCTTGGGATACCAGCTGGAATAAAGTTATTTTATACTGTCTTTTGTTCATTTTATGCTATTTATTTAGTCCTTGCAATGGTGTAAAAAGCAGCTAAATTATCTATGGATAAATAAAGTATTTGCCTTTTTTTTGTTTTTTTTTTTTTTTTTTTTTAAGGCAGAGGTATTTCAGAGGTATTTCTTCTTCTTTATTATTGTATGGAATTGTAGAAACATACAGGGTCAAAATAATTGACTTGCAACAATTATTCTTCAGGGTTTAAAGTGTCTTGTTGGTATTCTAAACTCTAAGTGACAAAACCTGGGAAATCAGGACTGTTCTTTATGTCTTTTTCTCCTTAAGCAAGCTTTCTGTCTTTAAAGCCTGATCCAAAGCCCACTGACACTAACAGCCTTCTTTCTGCTGGCAGTAAGGGCAACAGAGTTTGCTGCCAAGGTCACTCTGGAAATAGCCAGGGTACATTTACCTATAAAGGAAATAATTGCAGCTTTTAATCTGCAAATCCAAACATGAACCTCAGCTTTTCTGCCTTACAGCTTGTTCAAGAAATATGCTGTTATGTCCCATCGCCTTACTGGTGAGCCACTGGGGCAGTCACAAGTAAATCTTTATTAACAGCAATCATTTTAATATAGGATACTAGAGTTTTTCTTAAGGATCTTACTTAATTCCCACTGAATTAAAAAGAGTATAGCCCACTGGCAACAGTAGGAGTTGGATCAGGACTAAAACACCATGCAAGTGCATTCCTAAGTATTATCTGCCCTTTCAAGAAAAGGGTCAAAATGGTGCTGCAAAATTAGGAGACAGTTTATAGCATAAGAAGAGGACGGGGGCTCAGAGTCACAAATGGCCTTTTAATTGCATTTTATTTCAAGCCTAAAATAGTATTTTATTGTATTTTGGCTTGGAGATAATGCACATAAATCTTTTCCTCTTGGCTTACAGTAAATAACAATTCATTCTTGTGGTTTGCCAGCATTTTCACTTAAAAACGGTTGATTAATTCTTCGACAGTGTATTCAATATCACTTTCAACTGCAATCTTTTCTCCTCCACTGCGAAACACAAAAAGACTTTGAGATGTGTCATATTTTTAAAGGTTTAAAAAAATACTTTCTTTATGTATGAAACAAACAGTTTTTCCAATTTGATTATGGGAACCTATTAAGATGGTTTTCTCAAATGATTCTTTGTGCACACTGATATTGCTAGTAGACTGCATGCTCACTGGAAAACGGCATGTTATTTTTAGAAGGACAACATGGCAGCTAAAATCTCCATCCGCAATATAACAAGCTTCTGAAGATTTTTAATTGACACACAAATCCAAGTCTGATTTTCATTTTGCAGAGTCTTGGGATGGTTTACACAATCTCCCTTTGAATAGATATTGAAGGGAAAATTTATGTGTGACAGTCAAAAGCATGTTGAAGAAATGGGAGATTGTGTGCAAGGACTTGGTCCAGTGCCAATTGGAGTTGAAGGGAAAAAACCTCATCCTGAATTCACCAGGCTTTATTTCAGGTTCAGCATAATTTCCTGTTAAGCAGAAGCCCTAATGCAAGTTATTTCCAGTGACTGCATGGCAGTGTTTAGTCACACTCTTGTGAAGGTGCATGTCTCGATAGTTGTAAGGTTTTAATACCTTAGAATTCTTTAACTAAGACCAGGAAAGGATTTGTTTACAATAGTCAATGCCAGTGACTCATTTAATTAAGCTATTTTATTTGTTACACTTTTTGTTCTCCAGTAAGTTGGAATTCTTCAGAATTTCTCTAAGATAAATATATAAGGAAATGCAAATGTTAATTTATTCAACAGGATCATTGTTAAAGTAGTCAAAGACCCATATTTTGATCAATAGAAACGCCATCCTCCATATTTACGCTAAATAGAATATGACTTTTCATATTTCAGAAGTGAAATGAAATGGTGTCAAGAGATCAGTTGTTCTAGCCTTCCTTTTTAATTGTTACTTTTAATTTCTTACCAACTACTTATTTGTCATGGACAAGAGAAATATCATAAACATGGATTTTTTAATGTACCATGTAAGAATCATATGATTAATGCTAATGGACTGTTTACATGAAAGCTGATTATTCATTTACAGAATAAATGCTTTAAAATTGTCACTGCGATGGAAAAGTGTGTTAAGTGAACTTGAAGCTGAAGAGCACATTACTGACCACTTAGGTCTTCCTCCTGCCTTGATGAAATGAATTAATCTTGCCATTGACATCTGTGAAAGAACCAGACATTAAACAGGAAAACTGAGCTCATATTTGCTTTATTCATTGTATATCCTGTTTTGTACCAGTGGACAATATTGTATGTCATCATAAGTGCAAATATAAAGGTTAAGTTCATGAAGTTTTATGGAAAACTGCAATAGAATTCAATACACTACTGGTTCTGTGGATTTTTAATATTTACATAAAATGCTGTTACTATTTAATTTTGACATAGCCTTGATCTTGTGTTTCTTGAATCACTGTGAATTTAAAAAACTATTTAAATAGGGGTTTTGAACCATTTATCTAGATATATGTAAGTTGCAATGAAATTCTAGAAAAGGATTTTAAGGAAAATTAAGATTTTATTTATTTACTTTTTATAATGAAAACTAGCTACATTTTTTATGTGGGGAAGCTGAATTGTCTGTTGCCATAAATAGTTCAGTATTAGACACTGTCTACTTTGAAGAAACTTTAACACAGTTATCTGGGTTTTCATCTTTCTTAAAGATAATCTGAAGAACAAAGAGATCAACAGACATGAATGAATCATCAAAATGGTGAGATGGATTTTAGTTTGGTTTATGCTAGAGATGTCAGAAATACTCCAAAACTCCAAAGCTGGCTCAGTGCTTGTCCTGCATTCTATCTAGTAGAATAGGATATGGCTGCTGCTCTGTAGAACAGTAGGAAAAGATGTACATGAAATTTTAAGGTTGAATGTGAGAACTCTTTTCATCTAAAATAATACGTATCTTATAGCACAAAAGGATGTACCAGGTGGCCATTGCCCCCGCATCCTTCTGACTATTTTGTTTGAATGTAAATGTTCTACCTTACTTCTCCTGTGAAACAGGTTAGAGACTTTTGTTTGGTGTACAAGTATAGAAATGGGAATTAAAAAAAAAATAAAATATAAAAAAAAGAGACCTGAGGAGAAAACAGGCATAGATTTTCCTCATTTAGGATCTGGTCTTGTTCTTTATGAATTCAATGATGAGACTTTGTTTTCTGTGGGACTGAATCAATTCCCAGGTGGGGAAAAACTCGGTTCCACCAGATTAATGGAAAAGATTGTTCTATTTCTGCATTGCACACCTATCTCTGTACAGTTTGGGATACTTGTCCCAGAAATTCTCTTTTATTGTAAGCTTTCAGAAAACATACTAGGTTAGTATCAGCTACCAACACCAGAATCTAAACCCAATCATCCTCTCAATGAAACTGATAATATCTCTGTGAATAAAAATTGCATTAGTAAGTGCTTCATGTTATGTCTAAAATGTACTGAGGTCAATCAGGAGTCAGCAACCAGTGAAGTAATTGCAGATACGGAGAATTCCATATCACTGCATTTATAGAAAAACATACACATACATGTATATATATGTAAATAGCTAAATATAGGCAAGATTGTTAAAATAATTTAACCTAAATTATATTACTGTGTTATAGACTGAGCTTCAGAGATGGGTACAGAAGAAGTCACATATCCAGACACAGTTAAAAACTATGCAAATAATGCACTGGTATTCTTACAACTACGTTCAAATGCCTGACTGGCTATTTAACATACATAAAACCGCAACAATCATCCTCCTTCTGTGAAATTTCTTGGATATGGGCTATCCTAATTGCTTTAGAAAGTTTAAATGGACAGCTGTGTGTCTAAGTTATAGCTAAAAAGAGTCTTGCCTTCAATGTGTTAAATCCACCATTTTTTTTCCTAGTGGTGATTGAAATGCAGGATCAATCAGATCTCTAGCTTGTGAAAACACGCATATACAATGACTCTTTGATGTCCCCTCAAAGTGACAATATATGCTGTGTTCAACAGAATGTGAAATTAAGGTAATTTTCTACTAATCTACCTCTTTTTTGTTTGGTATGGCTAGAAAGGACAACAAAAAGGCTATACATATCTGGAGAATAATTAATACATCATAAACTGATTAAGCATTTCTGGACTTTTAGTTTCTTTCACTG